GAAATACAAAGAAAAGAAACAGGGAGCTGAAGGAAAGTAAACACTTTAAAGTCGTACTGTTTCAATCGTTTCATGTTTCACGATCTTGTTCATACTAGGAGTTCAGTGAACTAACTCCTGCAGAGAATCGTGCTGATTCCATTTTCCAACAACTTTGCTCTCAGGAGCTCAGACTGTGGCTCGTCTGGGACTCGGAAGGAATCAGTGAATTTGAAGATCGGGCTGTGGAAGAAATTTACCAAAGCATTGATGACAGTGACTCGGAAGATGAAGATTCAGATGACAGACGCAAGTCAAAGAAGAAGCGGGGCAAGGACAAGAAGCGAAAGCGACATTCCTCAAGCGATGAAAAGTCTGACTCTGCAATCAGTGTCTCCTCTGAGTCATCTACTAAGGCAGCCGTGGAACATACCATTCCCCATGATGCTTCTTTGAACGTCACTATCGAATTTCACGTATGTGTGCATGGGCATACATGTGATAGCAGTAAACCATTGTATGGATTTTTGAGGGTGTCCAAAGAATGTATCATGTTTGTTGCCAGATCACTGACACGAACTCTTCAAATCTGAGTTACCTCATATATTATTCTTTCTGCGAAAAAATGAATCTTGGGGGGTTGTCACTTCTTGGAATCGGATTGCTGTCACCTGGTTCTTCTCAGCACACTTTATGATATTGACAGGCAAAGAAGAAAAAGAAGAAGTCAAAGGGAAAGAAGGCTGCAAAGAAAGAGACAAAGGAAAAGAAGGAAAAACGCTTGCAGAAGGAAAAGGAGAAACACGAAAAAGATGAGTTGAGAGAAAAGGAGAAGAAAGAAAAAGAACAGATTGGAAAGGCCAAGAAGGCCAGTCTAAATCAAACCACTCTTCCATGGTGTTGTGCAGTCAAAAATCCAGTTTACTGAATAAATATGATGGTCTGTTGTATTCGTGGCATCATCCTCAATTTGAATCCATTTTGTGACATGCATGTCATGATTCGCAACAAAATTTTGCTCATACACCCAATATAATTCAACATGGCCAACCTGGCACCAGCTGTTGTACCAATTGGGCACGACATTGATCGAACCCTGTTAACAAATAACTCTAGTATGTCGATCTAGATCTATTTATTATATCTATATTATTAAAATATATAATCTACATTAGTTCCAATCCTTTCTCCCAGGTGCTCAACAGGATCAATGACAGGGTGTCCCATGCCTCGAAGAGGGCAAAGATGGTTGAAGAGATGTCGGGAACCTTGGAACAGATGATGCAGTGGCATTGCCAAAATTACTTCTGAAAATTTTGGGTATATTGAAAAAATATGTTTTTTCTCAAATAAGGGTGGACCACAAACTTTGATTACTGTGATTGACTGTATGGGACATCCTTGTTTGAGGAAACCATATTATATATAATATATTATAATGAACTTTTCCAATCGGCCTGCATATATTATATAATAAAGATTGTAATCTTTGCTTTGTGGGTAATCCCGGGTAATCCTGAGGATGGTTGGAACCTTCAAACAAACAAATTAAATTAAACCGACAATGTGAGATTTACTATTATTCAATATGTGTCCCATCCAATGTTGAACTTAATCTACAATGGTGATGCATGTTACCAACAAATTATATACTGTTAAACCGTTTGTATTATATCAATAAATCTGAGAACCTGTTGGCCTGGCTGATTGGGACCTGTGCCTGGCTATTGGTCAGTGTTTGTTTGCATGATTTTTCACGATGTGAAATTATATCTTTCATATAAAGTGTCTGGCTTAGATATGCTGGATTTCTGGTTGGGCCGATAATGAATTTATGTCTTGATTTTTATATTTTATTTGTTTGTAAAATATTTTTAGAAGATCAAAATCGATTTCTCTGGGAAGACTCAAACCACCCACATGGTATCCTTTCCCCTATGCACTTAACACAAGTTCGAGAGGTTTCCACAAACAATGGATGAATCAGGGATCAACAAGGACCGTTCAAAAACACCTTCCCCAAATTGCAAACTTAAATCAAGATTGGGTCAAAAGTAAGGATTCACCCATCATGGGTTGTGACTGTCATTTCAATTGTCTTTGGTCAATCTGAAAACTACCTGTGCAATGGGTTGAAAGAGCTGCTCATGGAATGTCAAATCACATCCTGTCCAGATCAACATGCACCAGGTCTTAACATCAATCAATGCATGGCAAAGTTATGACTTTGAATTTAATTTATGTTTTTGGAATGGTTGACTTGAATTCCATGCGTACAATCTTTCAACCACAATTCAGAAACAATTCATTTTCAGCCCTTTCTTTGGAGGTCACTGTGTGTTGGGGATCATCCAATTTATGTATATTTCATTCTGATGACAATGGGGTTTTGATTTTATGATTTTAAAGTTGATTTATGGATTACACCTACAGTCGTTCCAACACCACAACCGGCAGCCCCATCTCTCTTCCAAGTCCCGGTGCACCATCGAAGCCATTGAAGCCTGAGGCCGGTGGCATTGCGCAAGGCGATTGAGAATGAGTTGAAGACGCTTCGCAAGGACTTGATCACACAGCGTGATGAGCTCCAGTGTAAGATCGACACACAGTGTGCTACTCATCTGAATTCAAAACCTAATTGATATCAACAAGAAATGTGCATTTTCCAATCCACAATTTGTTATAAAGTTGTTCACCTGAGAAAAGTCCTGTTCTGTCTTCTATCTAGTTAAGAGGGGTCAATGATGAAATCAGAAAGAATTAATATTAGATAATTTTGTCAATGATTGGGGATCTGTGTTTTTGCCTATCCAAGATCACCTCATGAGTTCGTTGACTCAGGTTGATGGGTTGCACACGCTGGTGGAAGATGCTGAGAAGCTTGAGTCTACGTACAAAGATTTTATTGCCCGTGCTAACTTGAAGTAATTCCCAGGATGTTAGCAAGTGAAGCTTTTGGATCTTACAAATCACGTGGCAAGCTCACTTTCTGTGCCTGCATAGACTTGCATTGGGTTGAATTTGTTAGATCCTATTTGGCATTTGGCCTGCAACCTATAGATTCCACATCAAGCCACTGTTGGTTCAAATGTTTCAGATAGTACTATCTTCCATATTTCACCAAAAAAAATTGCACTTGTCATTGAAAACATGAAAAGAACAAAAAAATGAAATTGTTTTCCAACAAAGACATCCCCAGGGGAGCCAAGTAGCAGGTACAGTCATGAGAGCTTAATTGGCCACGATTCTGATTTCAATCCCCACCATGACTTATCTCAGAGAAAAGTCATTGATTTTGGTGATACGAGGTGCAAATTGCGAGGAAGAACGAAAGAAACATTAGCGGGTGTGTCATTCTGGTGCCATGTGAACACCACTAACCTGTCTACTTGGCCATCATCAACTTTTTTGGTTCTCATTCTTGATATGTTTTCCCCAGAGTAGCCAGTATCGCAGTACTATCCGTGAGTTGATCAAACTGGATTCATCCCAACGCAGGTGATGATGAGCTTGGCATGTCAGCCATGTTGGAGAACTCCATCCATGAAGTCTGTAGTGGTGTTTTTTGGATGCATTAGGCTGCATCAGATTATCGTCTTGCGTGGTTAAACCAAGATAGGCCACGCCATCATGTGATGGCGAGTCATCATGATATGTCAAACTGATATTTCCTTACAACTTTATAGTGTGTAATTTTCTTGTTGGTGCTGGACAACGTTTTCAGTATAAATCCCAATGATCATCCATGATAATAACAATTGATCCCATATATGAAAAATATATTGTATTGAGATCTAACCAACTAAGTTTTAAAACATCAAAACGATTCCCATGCTATTTAACAGGTCAACCTCTGCCCAGATGTGAGCTGAGGGCTCGACTGCTGGGAAACAGATGCGCTCGCTCAAGGCCCACTTCACTGCTCCTTGCCATCAATGGGGCCGATCAAGGTTCGGATCTTCGTTCGGGTTTTAGGATCTTCGTTCGGGTTTTAGGATGATAAACATGTTGGTTTGGATTCAGTGGATAATAAATATTGTATACTGATCTATTGAAGGTTTTTACCAAAAGTATGTGAATTATAAATTATGTCACATTTTTTTGGGGTCATCTGGAGCTATTTCACTTTCTTTTGAGACTCTTTGAAATGAAATATCCAATGAATACAACAATTGGGTGGTAACCAACAATACATGGGAAAGTCCCAACTGCATGGTCAGGACAGGTCAGCCCTGGCAATGGTCTTTGTCAAACCAGCTGACAATTTATGTGTGGTTGAGTTTTACTTGTATCATTGAACTATTCTATTCACAACCTTGTCTGCAATGACTCCCAAAAAAGGGTTGAAGATCATATAAAGGAGATGTTTGGCATGATTAGCCAGCAATCAAGAAAACATGCCGTGAACCGAATGCCAACACACAAATGATCATATGTATTAGATTAGTATGCAATTCGCAATGAATGCTTACAAGCACTGCACGTGTTTCAACAATGGCTAGTCATGCAATGTCATGCAAATGTTTTTTTTGTTACCCCGTGTTCATTCTCCAATTTGGGTATTAGGTGGGCTACTAGTGACTTTTTCATTATTTATCATGTGCGTGCCTCCCAGGATACAAAACAGGGGGTGTCCCACGACCTGACCAAGAAACTTGGTGGGATGTCTGGCAAGAACAACTCCCGGGATTGGTGGAGAACCCTGAAGAAAGGACCAGTCACTTGACCTTGGTTTCTTAGTCCCAAAGTTTTGTCTTCGATATGCCAATGCCAAATCCAGGTTAAATTGTTTTGGGGTGGAATTTAGATTTTAACAATGTATCATATTTTTTGTGTTTTTTTTGGTGGTTCATCCCAGGCCATCGAATTTATAAAGCTACCAATCAAATATGTTGACCCGGACGATGGGGTGGCCAAGTTCGAGCTCCAAGACTGGCCTGTAATGGACCCACATAGTATATCTGCTTTTTTGTTCGACGAAGCTGGCTTGCGAATCCCTACAGCAACCCTCAGGGAGTACTGGGAACACAATGCCCGGTTCCATGAACCGTGGGCACAGCAGGTGGCCCTGGGCACAATGCCCCTGGGCATATACGGGGACAGTGCTCGTGTCAGCACAAAGTTTGGGAGCACCAACCTTGTCGGTGTCTGGTTTTCTTTTCCACTCTGGAAACCATGCTCAGTTCGAGCAAGCCGCTTTTTACTCACAGTCATCCCAGATGAGAAATGCTGGAAGCACCACACCATGACTACAATCATGCGGAGAGTGACATGGAGCTTGAATTGCCTGATGGATGGAGCTCATCCAAGTGCAGGTGTGTACGGGGAGGCTCTACCAAGTCGCTTGCAGGCACTCGCAGGCAAAAAGTTCCTCTATCCATGCAAATTGGTTGAGATCAGAGGTGACTGGCAGTGGCATAAGCGCATTTGGCGCTTCTTCCAGTGCAGCTGGAACAGCCATAAAATGTGCTACATGTGCAAAGCTATGGCAGTGTCTGATGACCCAGCAGATCTGTACTGGAGGTATGAGAACAACAACTGGGAGACACAGTTTTCCTTGGAAGATTTCATAGCTGAACGTATGCCACCAACGGGGATTTGTTCCTTGTTCCAAATTATGCTTGTTCTGCTTTGATTTTCCTGAAAACTGTACTGATGGTCCATAACAAGCTTTGGGCTGTCCATGCAATGACTTTTTTCCTGTCTTGTTGGGATCTTTGTTTTGCAATCCAGGTCCCTTGCTTGGGCTTCGCCATTTCCATCCCAGCATGATCCGTTGGTGCATGATGCACGTGATTCATCTGGGGCTCCTATTCGTTTGCAATGGATCGTCCATGACTCTAGTCATGAAATGGTCATTTTTTCGTGATCGATTGTTTTCCCTGCAGGAGCTCACCAATGACCAAACACATAAGATACACTGCATCTACTATATGTCTGGGAATAAGTTTCGTCGGCTGAATGCATGCCCTAGGGTTTGGCCCCAAAAACTTGGGAAGGAATCTTCTACTTCGCTTTGGCGTCTTTGGCAACGATGCAGTCTCAGTGAATGTGAAGCTTGCCAGGGCATACAACAGATTTCGCAGATGGACTGCCCAGAACAAGATCGAATGCTCTCAGCCTCCTTTCACTGAAAAGATGGAAACTTGATTGGTTTTTGATTTTGGTGTTTGCAAATAGTCGAACAAAGAATTTCCCGGGTGTGGGCCTGTCTTGTTGTGATGGCCTTTGGACTTTGAAGATGTTTTTTTTCATGTGGACTGGGCACTACAGGTAGTATATTCTTCTGGGTTGTGCTCAATTTGTCTTGTCAATTAAGATGGGCAGTCAACAGTGCACAAAATGTGACACATCAAGCACATTTGGCATCTAAGTTGTTCAAGAAGAATAGTGACATCTTGCTCACGGCGAAAGCCTACAATGGACGGGTGATTTTGCAATGGCTTTGCGAAGAAGTGCATGCGGCGAGCTTGCAAGAGGGTGCTGAAGCATTTGATCCGCGTTTCAAATTGATTTCTGCAGCAATGAACCTTTGCCACACACAACAGTTGGGCATATGCCTTTAAAGTTTTTCTGTTTGGTGTTTTACAGAATGCCAGTCACACACTTGTGTGCTTTGATAGCAAAGCACATTTTTCTATAGATCGACACATGTGTAGGCCTATCTTGAATGGTATAGTTGTTGACTAAACATCACCCTGGATAATTACATAAATTATTTTGGAGCTCGAACTAAAACCACCAAAAATTGCCCCACCATGTACTCCCTGGGCCCTGTCACCTGCCGCCCTCAACTCCTCTCGTGCCAAGGATGCATATGGCCAGATTCCTTGGTGGATTGGAGCGAGCTGGCCGCTATCTGAAGCTTGGATTTTGGTCGGATTGCTGGGCAGCCATGTAGCCATAGGATATAAAATATATTACTGGTAATTTCATATATTACTACTATAGACTATTCTGGATTTCTGTGATTTTTGAATGGTACTAGTGTATTCAAAACCAAGGTGGATTGAAATATATTATTTATATGAAATATCGATCATAATTAATCTAGATCAGTTGTTATAACCCAAATATCAATTATATTCCAACACCATCTCAACATATCTCAACCATCCCTGACCTTCCACCTAACTACCCTTCGATCCTGGCCCGAGCCAGGACTTTGGATGAATCCCTTACCATTTTTGAAGATGGCTACCGCTTTTTGAAGATCTACAAGGGTCTCACATTCATGTCACTGAGGCTGGGCATTTTTTTGTATATGGAATCAGGATCCACAAGGAATTGTTTCAGAAACATTTTAACCTTCTAGCCTTGTGTCCCTATATGTTTTCAAAAAGTCAGGCTTGGTCTACAAGAATGGTTCTTACGTCCCAAATGCCATGCATCTTTGGTTGCAAAACATGATCAACACTGCTCACCCAGCCCGATGTGATGTATGTTTGGTGGACTTGTCCTTTTGATGATGGTGGTTGATTTATTGGGTTGAGTGTAATATAAATATGTTATATATATTTTTAAAATTGTGTTACCTAGTTCATCTGAGTTCACAACTCAGGCGATGTGGCATTTGCTGGTCTCCATTCGAGACTGCAGAAACTTATACTGAAATTGGGATGTGTTTTAAAGTGATCAAACATAGCTAGGTCATTAGCAAATCTGTCAATCCCGACTTGATTGTTGTCCAATTTGGTCACCAGCCAAGCACTCTTCACAGCTGAGGATCCAATCCGCGACTGTACCACGGATTCGTGGATGAGGACGGGATGGCTTGGATAAAAGGAACCTTGTCTGTGAGAATTACATATATCATATGGGTTTACATCAGGATCCCTTGTACAGTAGATTTACATCCTATCCCCATGGGTGTGCCACTGTTTTTACTTTTTTTTCTGGCAAATTCGAGTAGAAACCTTTTAGTCTGGTCAGCCAAGGAGTGTATCTGAAAGCACATCCTAGGCAAGCAATCCGGTGGCTCATGAGGTGTGGCAAACTCAGGACCCTACTTGGCAAGATTGTGCAGCCTGGTTTGGTTCCCTCTTCCTAGATGCTGACCCTAGTGAATTTGTGAGATATCTTTTGCTCACCACAAACCTTGAAAAATGGCTTGCAGGATCTGGTCATCGCATCTGAAGATCAAACAGTACCTTGATCATGGATAGAACTCGAGTCAATCTGATCTCACTTCAGATGATATCTGACTTGTTCGGATTATTTGCACCCTTGGCATTGTTTGTGAGAAAATGCCACATCTGGTCACTTGATCCAAGGTACAACAAACAGGTGGCAGAACGGCTACGCAAAAAGCGTGGTTGACTTCAACGCAAGTTAATTTGCTTGGGGACAAAAGGGCGCACCCATGGGGTAAGGGATCCTGGAAAACAAACAAAGGGGGTTCTACCAAAGCCTTTTGTTTGAGATGGTGTTGGAAGGCCAGGGTATATATAATATATATTATATATATATATATATTATTATATTATATTATATTATATTATATTATATTATATTATATTATATTATATTATATTATATATATAACATATATATATAATATATCTAATATATATATATATAATATAATATATATATATATATATATTTAAAATATAATATAATATATATAATATAATATATATATAATATAATATATATATACAATATAATATAATATATTTTAATTTAATATAAACAAAATAAAAAAATAATATAATATAACAAAAAATATTTATATAATATATAATATAATTAATATATCCAAGTTTGTGTTGCTGACATCCACTTCCTCCGTGCCAGGAGTACCTCTCCAGCATGGAGCGAAGCTTCGACGCGGCAGAAGACCTGTGGTCACCGTCCCCGGGCAGTCGAAGCAGCAGCCCGCGATCGAGACGAAAAAATCCGGGCAGATCTGGCCGTTGGTTTTTGGTTTTTGGTGTGGGCTGAATTTCTTTGAAGCTACCCTTTGACAATCAAACGGCGAAAATCCATGAAAATCCCCTGAAAAAATAGAGGTGTCAATGGAAAAATCAAATCTATATTGTAAATGGGTGATGTTCCATTCCTACGTTTGACCGCAGGGTACGAGGAAAAAAACATGAAAAACGCATTTTGCAAAGTGACATATTTCAATGCGAGTCTTACCTTGCCAGGTTAGTTTCTGAAATGGTAAGAATGGATTGTTACTTGATGTTACTTGATATCACTGTTCCAACGGATTGTTGAATTCAATCAAGGCTTGAGTGCGTGAATTCCTGCAAAAGCCAATGTTCTTTTATGCAAGCATTGTAAGCAGTAATGTATTGCATAGTCCATGCTTGCTGTGGGCGAGACCCACTCTATATCCAACTCGTCAGATTATCCAAAGTCCAATGTGACTTTATTTAAGAACATATTCGGAGCCATCGTGCCCTGCGCAAGTTTCTGACTTCGAGGAAATTTTCCACAGCCATCGCTGTTTCAATAGGTCGACCAGCTGGACATCATCGTGGGTCCCACCGCAGGCAGCTGGCTCACAGCTCAAAGCCTTGGGTTTTGGCATGATATGAACACCGAACACCACTTGCGTAGGAAGCAAAAAGAGTCTCCAACCTTTATGAAGGACGACGGACGAAGGGCTTTTGATTTTACTTGTTTGGCACGGGAGCCGCTCCTGTATGGAAATCTGATTTGTACCTTTGAGTTTGTCTCGGAAAGCTTTCTTGGCAGTGAGACTGAGAAGCATCAAGGCGTTTTTCAACCCCATGGATTTCTGACTGCCGCTCTGAAGTTCCAGAATGAAACCTTTACACCATCCTTAACCTGACTTAACCCCAACTTGACCCAACAGTCAGCATTTCCGCAGATCGACCATGGCCACATCCCTCTCACATGGCGGGCCGCCCCAAGCTGCGAGTGCTGTGCTTGCACGGCCGTTGCCAGACGGGCACCACCTTTCAGACCAAGTTGGAGCGCAGCCTTGGGAAATCTGCCAGCTTTGCGGACTTTGTGTCACTGAGACGACTTGCATCCGCCGGTGAATGGTGGATCATGTTGGAATAGTTTCAACAGTTTCCAAATCCAACGAGAAGACAAGAAGCTCCTTTCGGGGCGAAAGCCGGCAATAGTAACACCGTGTAACACGACCTATTTAGGGGAAATGATGTTGCGGTATGGTGTTCAATACATCCACGTATCACCCCAGAAGTCACGTTTTCCAGCCGTGGTAGTGGTCGCCTCGTGTCTCGAGGTTCATTGATGGCCCCATCGATTTGCCCTTGCAACACGAAGAACGCATCAACACGAGACCAGGCTTCGCAAAAGGAACAGGAAGGGCCTTCATCATCATGCTCAATTCATCCTCATCAGCCCATTGCATTCACCATCATTTTGCATCCTGGGCTTGCCATCAGTTTTTTGATCATCAATTTTGTTGCCATCATCGCCGATAGGAACCAACAAAGCAGTGAGATAGCATGATATCGCATGATTGAACCAACGAACAGGAATATCAGAACATATCAGAACGATATCGTGCCCGCAAAAAAAAACGCAAAAACATATTCCCGAAACCAAGAGGAAACAGTGCTAGTGTATGGTGTTGTTATGTTTTGTTGCCCTCTAACCTGGTCATATCATGGACTTTGGGGAGATCCCAGCTTTGGTTCAGCCGACCAGCATGGAGTGGTGATGCCCCCTTTGCCAGGTCAGATTCTCGAAGGGCATTTAACTCATTTGTCATTTTGATTTGCCAAAGAGAATCAGAGCAACCCACCTACTGACCTTTAGTTACTAAAGTTTAGTATCCTTTAGTTAAATGAATCATGGTATGCAGCGAGGCAGCATGGTTTGTTTCAAGTGGATGTATGTATCATTTTTGTATATTTTTGTGCACCACGGGCCCAAGCATCGGTCAGAAGGAACTTCAGCAAGTGGGTAAGACCAAGATTAAGATTTGCTGCCATTCATCGCGCACAAATTTGTGATCCTCTATGACTTAGCTTTGAAGATGTGTGTTTCATTTACCATCCCCTGATACATCCTTTGAGATTCTGTTCGAAGTTGAATTTGAATGACTGGTTCACACAAGGAAAAAAACATATGCCACAATATGCCACAAATCATTGCAACTTCCACCCAGAAGATATATTGATATATATTGAAGATACCGGGCTTATCCAGGTTTCTTCCCCAAGCATCTTGCAATGTCTTGCAGCATCCAGGAAAGGATGGTGGCCAGAGGGCGAAGCTCGATCCACAGAGTCTCCGAATACTGTGCGAGAGGCGGCGCGTGAGATCTTCCAAAGCCTGAGATTCATGATAAACATGAATAGAAATACTTAGAAATCCAGCTGTGCTGCTCATGACCAGTGGGAATTTCATAAGGAATTCTAGGTCATTTGTCCAAAGTTCCAGTTTCAGTGGGGCGCCTTTTTTTTTTCAGGGCCAATGGGTCACGGCAACCTGGGATAACCTCGGCACTATTTGTTGTTGATTTTTGTGGAGCCACAGATGACTTTGGGAGCGTTTCTGCAGATGGCTATCACGTTGTGCGCTAGACCTTGAATATTGCCGGCCCTGTTTCCATTTTGTGTAGATCTGTGTCTCTTGGATGCTCCCCGCCAATTCAATTCACACTCAAGATACCTTCGCGATGGCGTCTAGAACGAGGAATGGGCAAGAATCGATTAGAATTAGAATCTATGGTTTTCTTCAAGAAGATGCCGCCAGCAGCACAGAAGTGTATCCCAAGATATCCCCAAAAAAATGGAAAAATGGGGGTTTCAGGGCGTGTATGTTGGTATGTTGCTTGTTATGATTCTGTGTTGGGGTTCAATGTTTCATCCTTGGTTTTGATGATTTTTCAGGTTGGGTTTTGGGGGTCATTTTGATGCTAAAGTGATGTGTCAATGTTTGGTTCAG